TTCAAACACTATAAACTATACATTTTTTATAAACATTTAGTTTTGACTAAAGGGTGATTGTACAATTTTAAAATAAATACAAAATAATAAGTGATGGGTATATTATTCTAAATAGCTAACTGTAGAGCAGCTCTTGGCTGATGCTTGCTACTCTGTATTATAAATAACAGTATACAATATCATAGCACTTGCATAAATAAGTCTATGATCAAACTAAGTCTTATTTTAAAGTTCCAGCTTACAATACAATTTTAGTTCTATATGATTAAATACAATAATAATATTGTCAATAAAATGCAATTTTTGAGGTTTTTGTTTAGAAATACTGCAGTCAGATTTAATATTCTGTTATTTACTATATTTCCAAACCCTGATAATCTATACAACGGATTAAACTTTTGACTTGACTAATCACATGTCAACTGTGGTACGAAGTTGCAAGATTGCTTTAAAACCAACCAGTTGATACAGCAATAGTTAACTCCACATAAATACACTATGGGTGTGAAGTACATTTCCATTATTGGCAATACTTTTCCAAAAGATGTGTGAAGTTTTGATGTACGTGAAAAGACAAGATTATTGATACACATGCGTGAAGGCGTCAGCTGTTGTCGTCAGCCTGCCTGCTTGTAACAGGCATGTATTACTTTTGTCCCAGCAATAACAATATCACTTGTATTGTAATTTCAATTCATTTTCTCAAAAATTATACTTTTAATAAAAAGCAGCTGCTATTTTTTAGCATACATGTAAATGATACACATAAGGCCCTGTTACTTTCCATGTCACATTCTCGCATTTTGGAGTGAGAACTCAGCAATATGTTACTATATAATAATAGGGACTTAACATTACTTTGGTGGATTAGTTTTACCATACTAATTGCCTGATTTAATTTAATACTATTGTTCATTTCTGGGAACCTTTCTGAGGAAGCTTGTGTTGACGGGTAAGGCATATTTGCTTGTTTAATACATTGACAGTCATAGCCCAAAAAACATGCTGTGCCTGCTATGTTAATGAAGCAACATATTGGTGTTATAGTGAGGAATAATCCACGTTATCTGCTTCATATTTATTATAGTACTTTGGTTATCCTAGAATCAATTGCTACATTCACAGTACGGGATCTCGACACATCCCGTCAATTACAATCATTTGTGTTTGTAGAGAAATTACAGCTGTTGTGTTCATGTCAGTTGGGGCGGACTTGGCTCCTGTCGAAATCACGCTCTCATTCATCGATCTCTTATTTGACGCAAATATGGAAAACAATACGCATATGATAATAATTGCTACATTGAAATTATATCCATTTGTTATGGTATTAAGAGTCATCGTGCACATGAACGGCAAAGAAGATTCGAAAACCAATTATTTTTTCATCTATCAGGTCCGAGATAAAGTGTTTTTTTTTTGTCTCGGTCTGACAGTTCACACACAAGTCTCGGCTCCAAGTCTTGGCACGTGGTAAGATCTCTAACGTGAACACAACTAATGACATGAGCAAACATGCCCTACAATGCAATTTATAATTTGAGTGCTAAACATTAAATTTGAAACAAATTTCTGAATACTTTGTGTGTATAACAGTACAGGTAGAATTATGGATTGGCCATTTAAAGTAGTGGGTAGGGTTTAAAGAAGAAAAAACACTGAGGAAACATTGAAGAGGCAGAGAAAATAATCCCCAATACATTAGTAAAGAAAAAGCAAAATAACAAATTTCATCACGAAATAGTTCTGTTGGAGCAAACTCAATTTCTGTACTAAAAAGACTATCAACTTATTTACCTAGTATTTTAATGCTCAGAACAATTCAGTGATCATACATTTTTATATGGATAAACTGAATAAAATAAAACCATTTTTGTAAAAGTCATGGAATCTGTTCATCCATGGCAGCCATTATCTTAAATAGACCCTGACAAAAACATTTAGGTTTCTGGTTCTAGTGTTAAAAATGTGTGCCCTCGCCACTACTTGCCAAGTCTGTTAGAATTTACAAAAATATAAAAAAACGTACACCTGCTTTGATG